AACTCTCTGAATTAGTAGAAATTTTGGCAGCACTACCTTTAGAAAGGGAGACTTCCCAGATTTATAATAAGTCAGATATGAACTCGAACAACAGCTCGAGCTCAACTTTTAGACTGAATTTAACTAACTCCTTAATTTTGCAAAAAATTCGGCAGCACTCCCCCTAGAAAAGTGCTCTCCCAAAATTTACACTAATCCATATATGGAAAACACAAACTGAACTCTGACAAGTCAAAAGTTAACTCACTTCTTGGATTTGTAGAAATTTCGGCAGCGCTTCCGGTAGGAAAAGTAGTTTGTCAAGATTTATACAAAGCCAAGTATAAGAAAAGATCTCAGAAAATGCAGGAATTGACCTAAGTAAAAAAAACGTTATTACAGAAAATGCAGGAATTGACACTAACTCCTGTGACTCTAGCACGTGGCGAGCAACTAAAGCGACTACCTATAAAACTGAAACCCAAACAAACTAGCCATCCCATCCAGTCATATGCAAACCAAACCACCAATGTAAGTACTCTCACCACCCCAAATTTATTCCATATAGATAGTTCATGAATCTTCAAGTTCTTGAATCTTTATACCCATCTTACATAAGACATAAAGCTGGACCATTCGCCATGGAAACAATGCCCAACTTGTCTTTATGATATACACGAACATGTTGCACAACTACTTCTTTCTTCTTTTGGGCAGATGACTAGGCCATTCACCATGGAAACAATGCCTAGTCACCCTGAGCTGTTTAATATCGAAAAATTTAGTATTTCTCTGACTTTGTTTTCAAAAGAAAAAACAAATATGGGCAGGGGACTGAACCATTCGCAGTAGAAACAATGTTCAACTTGCCCAAACTATTTCCATTTATACTCTGTATTTTCCCTCCTCTCTTCTTAATGATATGGCTTAACGCTGGACCATTCACAGTAGAAACACTGCCGCGCTGTCAGTTCACATGCAAATATACATAAAGTACTTCTTTTTATACTTAGTTTAAATTATGTGCGTCGTTTTCAGGCTAAACCATTCACCATGGAAATAATGCTTAGCCTTAGACCAAAAATCCTCCCTCAAAATAAACAAGACTTTAAACCCCTTCAATCAGACAACCCTCAGAGTTAACTAAGGTAGTCAGGCCATTCACAGTAGAAACAATATCTGGCTCCCCAGAAAACAATCAAATAAACACAGCGACCAGACCATTCACAGTAGAAACAATGTCTGGTCCTTCAGAAAACATCCAAATAAACATAGCCCTGAGTCATTCACAATAGAAACAATGCTCAGGCTTTGGTTGACCCGGTCAAACGCATGCAGTCTACCTTCCTTCCACCTTCCCCCAATTCATCCTTAGTCTGCTTTCAATCAAAACAAAGTAGAAACTTAGGCTTCACTCTCACACATTCTTTCAAGTTAGTCTGCTTAGGTCCTGAAGAGAAAGCAAAAACCATAGGGACAACGCATGCACAAGGCAATCATACTACAAGGAGATAGGCAAACATGGATAGTAGTGGGTTATACAGATGATGTGATTTTACCTGATGGTTCTCTGCCT